GGTCCTCATTAAGGGGAGGGTGGTCCACAAGGACAACATTAGATAATAATTCATTTTTTCTAACGTTTACACCTAGCCACTTGGCGTAAGTTTTCTTTTCCACAAGGAACAACATTAGATAATAATTCATTTTTTCTAATGTCTACCCCTAGCCACTTGGCATAAGTTTTTTTTTCCATATTTTCTCACCCCTATCCACTCGGTATAAGTTTTTGTTATAATTGTGCTTTTTTCTTCATGCTTTGGTGGTGGGCTACAATATTCTAAACAAACACTACAATACATCCAATATTACAGGTTCGCATTCGTATCCCTGTTAGTCCTGCTTACCGTAACATCGGGGCACGTCTCGGACTACTCGCAGGCCAAATATATTCCCATCATTGATGGTAGAATTTTAGTTTGGGAAGAATTCGCGTTCGTCACACACTCGGCGAATCTCTCAGAATATAGGCGCGTGGTGGAAGAAACAAATGGCATGATCAGCATGTTTCCCCAGTCACACATGCAGAAACTTTTGATTGTCGATGTTGCTCATCTGCGTGACCTGCTCGACTCGTTGAGCATCCACCACAGAGTAGCTAGGAGTTTGGATTTTCTAGGAGCGGCGTTAAAAGTAGTGGCGGGAACGCCAGATGCAGAGGATTTCGAAAAAATTAAATTTAATGAATTCCAGTTAATAAATGCAAACAATAGGCAGATAAACATCAATAGTAAAGTACAAGACCAAATTAATAATATTACTTCCACCGTCAACCAACTTCTGAGGTCAGCCAAGGGAACCCAAGTTGACACGGGGCATCTTTATGAGATGTTATTATCCCGAAATAGAATGATTAGTATGGAGCTGCAAAACTTATTGCTAGCGATTGCTTTAGCTAAGGCCAACATTGTGAGCCCTAGTATACTAGATCATGCAGACCTAGAAGATATATGGATAGAAGAGCCCACAGATACCCCCATCAAAGACCTATTGTCCGTTGCTTCCGTTAAAATATTACAGTCCGATAACCTTTTGTATTTTGTCATCAAATTTCCAATAATCAAATCATCCTGTATTAAAATCACTGTTTTTCCCGTGTCCCATCATGACACGATGCTCAGGCTGGAGGACAAAATAATAGCTGATTGCAATGGAGCAATTCATACGGTCAACAATTGCTCCACAACATCTGGAGCCACATTTTGCCAGCTGGCGGTAAGAAGGTCGTGCGCACAAGAGCTCCACGCTGGAGGCATAGCGCACTGTGACATCCAGCACAGCGATCTACATCCAATTACTCGCGTAGATGAAGGCATCATAATTGTAAACGATCGTCCGGCACGTGTGAGTGTAGATAATGGCACTTACATCCACATACGAGGCACGCATCTCATTACCTTTATTGAGAGTGCCGTGGTTAATGAAACCCGATATGTCAATAATGACAGGGCCCAGAAGAGGGTCCCAGGAGTAGCCAGCTCGCCCTCCCTGAATATCACTATGGAGCACAACATCCTCAGTCTTCCATACCTTCACCGCTTGAGTGAACGTAATCTGGAACACATAAAGAGAGTCGGGGAGAATATCAACGACTATCATTCACATCAGATAGTACTGGTGGCAGCAGCAATATGTTGCGCGTTGATCTGCGTCGGTTTCACCTATCGGCGAGTCATCCAGGCCAGGAGAACTACGGCCCAAATAGCAGATATGATCGCCCAAATAGGGTCGGCCGAGGACGGCCTTAATTCTGAGGGGGGAGTAGTTAACTAAGTAAGTTAACCGGGCGACGGCAATGACCGATCGTCCGAAAGCTCGCTCCGGCCAAATTGCTGACACAGCGTCTGGCCGGAAGCCCGTGCATAGCCGGCAAGCACTACCCATTGGAGTGGCCGCTATGAGTCCCTTTTTATGTTAGCTTTAAGTTTAGTTCTCATTTTGATTTGAAAGAATAAAGAGCTAACGCTCACGAATTGAAACTCCGGCCATCGCCGTATTTGATTTATTGAAATTACACCCAGTCTGAGTCTCTAGGCCAGCGGGCTAAAAGAGGGCAGTTACCCTCTCAACCTAATCGTCATATATTTACTGTTGATGACGCAGGCCAACCGGCCAACTACAACACACACAGCGGCTGATATTACCAGCTACAACTACGGTCAACCGACCTCCTGCTACAGACGTTCTGCCAGCCAGCTTCACCCCCTCTACAGACGGACGGCCAGCCGGCACACGGATTAATTAATTATTTAATTTACATATCATCAACTCCTTGCACTCGCTTTAGCTGAGTAACGGGTATCTAGTAGTCGGGGACGTCAACTACAGCGTTCTTTCTTGTTTTAGTTTTAATTGTTCCTCTTAGCAGATACAAACCAGGGAGAACGCTATGTTCGCGTGCCTCGACTTTTAAGGTGGCTCGACTTGAACGATTGGAAAATAGGTAGATAAATATTGATAAACACTACGAAATCAAAACAAAAGATATTTATAAAACGGATCTTTTTTGTTATAGTCATTTTTTCCGAAAACTTAATGGTTTTCGAAAAAACCTAAAAGAAATATTTAAAATAGGATGTGAACATTTAAAAATATTGAAATATCCCGTCATAAAAAAGGCGTCAGATAGTTTTGATTAATCGATAACAGCATTTTAGGTGATGGACCTTTTCCGACTTTTTTTTACAAAATATCGTGTTTATGTTCGCGATGCGATTTTTGTTTAAAAAAATTTTTGCTTGCTTATTAGAAATGCTTTTCAACATTTGCTTATACTTTTCATTTAGACTTTATTATTTTATTTTCGTGTTCTTAAACATCGAGTGACATCGATATCGATATTGACACAGCGATATCGTGCGATATATCGGGCAAAATGACGCAAGTGTGCTCAAACGGTTAATTATTTTCAAACCTTGTGAAAATTAAATCTTATTTAGCGATTTATAACGAAAACTATTAGTTTTACAGAGTAAATGTATAAAACATAAATTACTCATTTCTTTAATAGCTCTCATTTCTCCCCGGCAAACTTTTTAGCTAAGTTAATATATTCGAATAAATTCACGAAAAACAGTTTTTTAACGTTATTTTCCATAGTCCCCTTATTTGCGACAACTTTGACTATTTTTCCCGTAATCAGGACCCCAAATAACGTGGATCTTGAAAGTTTGGGCGAAATCGGGCGTTACCCGATTTTTGGTTAAACGGCTTTAATGATTGTTTTTAATTAACTATAACAAAAAGTTGCGGCAAATAAGGCATTGCCTTTCAAATTTAAAATTTATTACGAAATAATCCAATATATCATTGCTTTTACCGACACAAATCGAACGAAATGCACGCGTCGCTGGTCAACAATAAACATATATCACAAGTTCTATCAAAAACTTAACTAAAACAAGGAAGAAAACTATAGTCGATTACCTCGACTATCAGATACCCGTTACTCAGCTAAAGGGACCAAAGGGAAATGGAGATATGCAAGCAGCAAAGCGAGATTGAAATGCGCCACCTACCAGTGATCTCAATATGTGGTTATGTTGACGGTAGACAGATTTAAGCGTTATGCGCAAATACAAAAATTTTGTATCTTGCATGAAAATTGTGGGCGCCACAGGCTTGGGCGGTTTGTGGGCGTTAAAGTGGATACGAAATCTAAATCTAAGATCCCATTTCTTTATCTTTTATAGTTTCCGAGATACCCGTGTTCAAATGTACGATTTTTTGAAGTTTGTGGGCGGTTTGTGGGCTTTAAAGTGGGCGAGGTCAATCGATAGGTATTGATAAGAACAATACATATAACCTAAAATTTTTATTCTAGCATCAAAACTGTAGGAGCCACTGTTTTGGGCGGTTTGTGGGCGTTAGGCACATTTCTGCAACAAACTTGCGCTGCGCAGGAATCTCAGGAATCTGCATGCCTAATCCCAGTATTGAAGCTCTTATAGTTTCCGAGATCTCAGCGTTCATACGGACAGACAGACAGACGGACATGGCTAAATCGACTCGCCTAGTGATCCTGATCAAGAATAGATATACTTTATGGGGTCGGAAACGCTTCCTTCTGCCTGATACGTACTTTCTACGAGTAACGGGTATAAAGTGTACAGTCGAGAACAACTCAACAACAATTTGCATTGTGAGCTGAAACAAAAAAAAGTTCAATGGAATTGTTGTTGGCTTGGCTCGCGCTCATCTGTTATGGACAGTGACACAAAGAAGAATCAAGGTGCGCCCTGTTCAATTTGGGCATGTGACCACAGGCATGATTTGTGACTTTACAAAAGCGAACGTGACCCGCGTGCTTATGGGCTGAGCATCCCTGTTTTAGAGTTATGGGCGATCAGAGTCAAATTTTAGTCAAAATTTATATTCTATCACTAAAACTGTAGGCGCCACAGCTTTGGGCGTTTGTGTGGGCGTGGCACTTTGCTAAATCCAACCTGCAACTTATATATATAAATATTATATAACATTGAGCTAGAGTCAACGATAAATTTAAAGTTTGTTTCTTAAGAGAGAGTTGAAAATTTGCGGTCTGCTTCACAGATTTAATTAAATAAATAAAATAGCATATTTTTACAAGTCCAAACAGAAAACTATTTACCATCATTATAATATTTAGCAAAATATAGCTGTTCTTATAGATAAATGATGTAATATCAAAAACCATATAAAAAAACTGTTCCAGCATTGAAGATTCCGTGTAAGTCAATATTTCTTCATGCTTTTCCTTAAGATGTTGAGAATTTGCATAAATATCATAGGGCTTGGGTACCAAATTCATACGAATTGTATTGGACCTTAGCTCATATTGTGAACGGTTTATAAGGCTTAGAGTTGATGCAAAATAAGCCAACATTAAAGCAATAGGGCTTAGATATGAATCAAAACTCAATTCACTGTTTATCTCCAGTAGTTTTCCATTATTATTATCATTTAAAAGATGGATTAAAACTTCCATTCCCATAAACCTGTAAACTTATTTAATTACAGATTATGAGTCTTTCTCATGCGGTTATTGCACGGCATTATTCACCTCATTCATTAGAGCAGTGGTGCTCACACAAATAAAAAGAAATATAAGACTTGTAGATGGGTGTGTATTCCGAGGTCCCATACCGAAGGCGCACGATCGTTTGCAGTGTCGGTGTAAGCAGAGCGTCGGCAGGGAAATCTCAAGACTCGCTAATCAGGCCAGTTGGCACTATTGTACTAATGTATTTATTAAAGGCTTAGAATGAAAGACTTGGACTTTTTTTGAACGAAAGGCAAGGTCACTTTAACCTTTAAACGTCAACTTTAAACATTATAGCTCAAATAATTTTAGTAGCTGATTTTCTTGTTCGAAGATTTTAAAATTAACTTATAAATAGGTTTAAAATTGGCGGCTGATAATAGTGTTTTGCCGTAAAATCCGACACTTTTATTATGACTTTAAAATATATTGGTGCTGAAAAAGCTTGTAGGTGTTTTTAGTTGTATTGTATCGGTGGAGTTTTTTTTTTATGCTCATAAAGTTTTGTCACTATTTATAAGTAGCATCGTTATTGGTCGCAACAGATTAATTAAGACACTAATGTATTAGTTTTGATTTTCTTATTAGCTTACAGCACTAAATTGTCTGCAAGGACAAGTTTTTATTCGTAAGCTAATTTTTTTTTTAGTTTTTATACTTGATCCTTTTTTTACAGCAGCTGACCTATCGGTTTTGATAGTAGAATCCTATAGTCTGAGATAGAATTGCTCCAGTGAATAAGCCGAACAATGCCTTTGAATACCCACATCAATAAACATTTTTTGAAGAATCTTCAAAGTACTTACCTGGTCCATATTGTATTATAATTATCTGATTGTTGCAGGACTGATAGTTGAAAAGCAAATAAACATGTTACATGTACCAAAAGTGCAACAATCATAAAAATCAGAGGATAGTACATACCCCTGAAATAAATAAATATTACGTGTTAGTTCAATTTAAAGCGGAATATTCACCGGTGCAGTTGGCGATAAAGCGCCCAATAAGTGCCAGCTATGATGAACATTAAGAAATATAGGCTTCCAGGCAATGATGGTCTTAAAGTTGCAGCAAAGTAAATCACAATAAGGGTAAAAAAAGGTGCTGTAGATCAAAATAATACATATGTTGTTTTTTTTTTGATATTTCAAGCTCACATGTCTTTAAAACGGATTGAATATACACAATGATTAACTGCCGATTCATTTCAGAAATTTTCAATACACCTCTTAGCTCCTTACTTTCCTTACTGATAGCATAGCTATCATCCAAAAAAAGTTTCTTTTGTCTTTTATTGTATACCTTAGAATAAATGAAATAGACGATTGTTTCCAAAAGAACAAAAATATCAGGAAGTATCCAGTGCGCAATAGAACCAAAACTAAAATATACGGTTATTTTTAAAATAGGAAATGGATTAAAATGTTACCTCAGTCCATTAAAATACAAGAACCCAATTTGTCGTAAGATAATCGTAATTGACTTTTTGGAGCTTAAGTCAATAAAAAATAAATTTATCAAATTAATTAAAAGGTGGCCGATTAGGCAAAGTGTACCTATAACACAAAGAAAAATCATAAATGCGTTTAATAAAGCTTGTTGCCTTAAGCTCTTGGTTTGCAGAAGCCAAGGTGACACAAAAAACAACATAAGATAAAAAAAAGATATTCCAACCGGTCGCACCAATGACACTACACGATTAAAATAACAAATCATTATTTTTAATAAATATAATATATAAAATGCTTACCAATTATTAATGTAAATGGCAAAAAAAAGCGGACTAAAATAAATAGCACTGTATCAGCCATATTAGTAAAATTATTCGAATTGGTTGACAGTAAAGCAATGGCTATCTTCAAAATTAAACAACTCAGTGACTCAGTAAAAGTTGATATCAGAACTTTTGTTTGTTGAAGGTGGGATCGTCCCTAGATTTTTACGTCGCTAAGAGGTGATTTTGTTAGATTAACCTAATCGGCATTAGATAATTGAAATTGGTAGTTTACTGGAGAGAAAGAGGGGGAGACAAAAAGAAGAAGTTGCTTAAATTGTTAATTAAGCAATAGCCGCTCACTTTGCTCTCTCTTTGCGCCGTTCAGTTCATTATAGGGGACAACCGGTTTATTACAAACATGACGCGCTGTAATAGTAGATTCCGGATCACAGGTGAGTCTTATCTCAAGGAGGATGGCAATACTAAAGCTTTCGTCGTGTACATCTAGTTTTGAAACACTAGTAGAAGTATTTATTGTTACCAACTTCATTACAAAGCAACCCTCAGTACCGATTACAATCTTTTCATCCCCGAGGAACTGAAGTAAGCAGATCTAGACTTTCGGCAACCTGAACCCATTGACTTAAATTTGGGGGCTGGACAATATCACTGCTTAATGACTAAGTGTCTTAGACTAGGCCCTAATAATCCTCTGACTCAAGAAAGAATCCTTTTGTGCTACAGAAATCAAACCTATTTAGTAGAAAAGGTAGAGATCATGCAGGACCTAATCCGCCTCGTGAGCTAACGAAAGATGAAAATCCGGTCAATGTCGACCAACTTGATAAAGGTGGTATTCATAAAAACACCTAATCTTGCGAACAAACAAAAGATAGCAAACGGCTGAATGAGATCTTTCTTAATACAGAAAGGATTCATTTAACGAACCTTGAAATTATGGAGCCGGAAGTAGCCAATCATAAACTATTGAAACTTACTCCTCCGAACGAAAGTCAACTGCTACAAATATTGGTTTCTTGAAGCCAAGATTTCTCAATTTTGTATGAAATCTCGATTTTTAACCAAAAACATCTAAGCTTTCCCTTCAGTTCTGCATTAGGGACGCGGTGACATGGCTCAAGGCAAAAAGCTTTTTTGTTTTTTTTTGTGCCTAAAACGCTGTGCCGCTGTTGACGTCAGCAGAGAAGTCGGCGCAGTGTAGAAGACTGCCTACGAAAACGATCGTGCAACAAAGAGAGGCAGATATTAGGAGCTTCCCTCTCTTTCTTTGTCTTATAATCTGCCTGCACTCGGCGCTCTCAGAGACAAATTTCGGCAGGTCCGTTATTTCTTTTGAGTCTCTCCGTTATGTCCGGCTAGCGACTAATGTTTCGGCGGAAAAATTTTCGTGGCGCAGCGACATGTGAGTGCCCTAATATTTTAGGAGCATTATTGTATATCGAAAAAAAAAACAACTAATATTGTTTTATAAAAGTAAATTATTTGATTATAGTAAAATTAAGTAAATTGAATTTACTTTTAATGTTATGCTTACGTATTATACATTAATATTACAATATAATTTTTTAGTTAAGTTATAGAAATTTAGTTCGTTAAAATTTATTGAAATATTTAAAACATTTTAATAGTACCATTTTTGAAGAATTCCTTTTTATTATTTTTACTAAAAAAAGTAAAAGTTATGTAGTCGGATATTTTTCGCTTTTGAAAGGGTATAGGTGCAGTGGCACGCGCCTACTGCGAAGAGAAAACAAAAGAAATCATTCATTCTGTTTGAGTTATTGAAAGGGAAGCAAGCCATTTAAATTGTGCGCAGAAGATTTACTTCTTTCGTTTTTTAAAGTGAAAATAATAAAGTCAGGTAAGTGTTTCATTAAGTTGAAGATGTTGTGCATTGATCTTAGTTTAAAGTATTAAGGTATTCAATGGGTTCCGTAAGCCGAAAGTGGATGATGAAATGTTTTGCGCCAATAAAAATCCTGCAAAGGGTGTAAACACAGCTCTAAAAGGTAAATATGCAAATAAACAAATAAAACGCATTTTTTAAGCATATGACCATAAATTTTATCAGGAGCGTTGGCCAAGGATTCGGAGGACCCGGACAAAGGTTTAAGGAAGGCGATGACCAATGTAAAAAGCAAATTAACGTAACATAAAATTAGGCTTACTAACAATAATTGTTCTTTAACCTAAAACCTAAATAACATTATTTAATTAAAATATATTTAAAAGTATATACAAATTTATGTATTTTAAATTCTATAAGTAAAAAAAATTTTGATTTTCACAAGTGATTTCACTTGGGACGTGTCACTTGCAAGTGATTTCATAAGTGAAAACTCATGGAAAAAATTTGATTTTCACAAGTGATTTCACTTGGGACGTATCACCGGCACGTGATAGGCCATACGAAAAATGAGTATAAGGAACAAGTGAAATCCCGTGGGACTTCGAAAAATTTTCATTTGAATTTTCACTTGTGAAAATGCGGACATCCCATACAATTTTCTATATGGAGCGTCACTTGTTCTTCACTTGTGCAAGAGGACATGTCCCACGGGATTCACAAGGTGATTCACAAGTGAAACTTTTTTTTTGGAACTAAAGGGTTGTTGCAGGAATTCCACATACTATAGGCATGCAAGTTATCCAACCAGTGAAACGGTTCCACTTATGGAATTTATAAACAAATTATCGAATTCAATTTCAACTATGTTTCTTGCCTTTGTTAAAGATTCTGCCTTACTTCGAGGGCCGCGCTTGACCGTCCTGCTAAGATAAATAAACCAATCGTAAAGTAAACACAACCTTCCGTTCGAAGCCCAAACTCTTTCGTTCAAAGCCCACAGTATTGCGTTCTTAGTTCAAATCATATTGCGTTTCGATTTTCAATCAAATTGCATCGGTCAGCATAATTTCATTTCACAACGAGATGCGAGTTTCAGCATAAGCTTTTATTCTAAACATAAATTAAAGTTCTGAAAGCTTAAGAAAGAAAAGCTTTTGGCCGAGGTTCATTGGATAAATTTTTAGAATTAAGAAGGCAGTCCTATTTTGTCCGAGACCACGATCGGTTCACAAGTTCTAAAAGCGTCTTGTATTAATTGTGTATTAAGAATAAAGGTTTAACACCCGAGTTTTAAAATAATTAATAAATTTTTTTAAATCATCTACAAACGACGAATTTTATTGGCGCCCAACGTGGGGACGCGTTAAAAAAATTCCAAAAATTGTTTAATGGAAAATAAGTTAAATATAAACGGAGCTCGCGCGGCCAACAACTTAACATTTCCAGTGGAGAAATTAAAAAATCCGCCAAACAACACAACAAAGTGACAGTGATCGTTAACAACAATTAAATGGAAATTAGTAAATGAAATAATCCATTTAAAGGTGAATTAAATCCTTAAACCAAAAAAAAATACAAGAACACGAAATAAAGCAAAAAATTATGTAAAACAGAAACGAACTAAACTAAAACATTTAAAAAAACAAGCTCTGACAACAACAACAAAATCACAACACGCCGAAACAAGAAAAATCAAAGAAGGAAGGAAGGGCATTCTATCGCCATTAATCTTTACTGAATCCAGGACGGAAGATCAACCCACAACCTCACAGAAGGAAGACCCCATCGGTACAGTCTCGTGAGAAATTAATTTTCAATAATAAAAAATAATAAAAAATTAAAGATTATAATTTAAGATCAGGGAATTTAAGAAAAACAAGGAAGAACGCTATAGCCGAGTACCTCGACTATCAGATACCCGTTACTCAGCTAAAGTGACCAAAGGGAAATGGAGATATGCAAGCAGCAAAGCGAGATTAAAATACGCCACCTACCGACGGTAGACTGATTTAAGCGTTATGGGCGTTAGAGTGGGCGTGGCAAATTTCTTTTGGATCAATTGATAGGTATTGACAAGACCAATACATTTCATGAAAAGTGTGGGCGTCACAGGCTTGGGCGGTTTGTGGGCGTTAGAGTGGGCGTGGCAAACTTTTTTTTGGGTCAATCGATAGGTATTGATAAGAACATAACACTTCAGTTAAAATTTTTATTCTAGCATCAAAACTGTAGGAGCCACAGTTTTGGGCGGTTTGTTGGCGTGGCACATTGCTGAAACAAACTTGTGCTGCGTAAGAAGCTCAGGAATCTGCATGCCAAATCTCAATAGCCTAGCTCTTATTGTTTCCGAGATCTCAGCGTTCATCCGGACAGACGGACATGGCTAGATCGACTCGGCTAGTGATCCTGATCAAGAATCTATATACTTTATGGGGTCGGAAACGCTTCTTTCTGCCTGTTACATACTTTCCGACGAATCTAGTATACCCTTTTACTTTACGAGTAACGGGTATAATAATATAAGATTTAAACGTTGATAAAAAGTCAGATAGATTTGCGATTTAATAAAAAATATCGAGAAACAATCTCGAAGATTTAATAAATAGCTTTGGTGAAATAAATTTAACAATGACAACCAGAGGCTCAGCACCAAATTTATCTGCAGGTAGTATAGCCACAGCAGGCGGCCTAACAGTGGAATTAATAAATAGACTGATAAATGTTCAATTAAATGAAGTGAGCAGGAAAATATAAGGTTTAGAACAGATGCAAACACTGTGGAGGATTATTTAATACAAGCAATTGACTCAACTATATAATGCGATACAACACTTGAAGTGGTAAAATCTTTACCGAAATTCACGGGGGATCCAACACAATATGTAGGTTGGAGGGAAGCCGCAGAAACTGTAATGAGTCTCTATAAAATTCAAAGTGAACAATATTTTATCGCCTTAACAATTTTACGAAATAAAATTTTGGGAGCTGCGCATGATGCTCTTACCAATCATGGCACCGTTTTAAACTTTCGAGCAATCTTATCTAGATTGGACTTTATATATAGCGATAAACGACCAATACATATTCTCGAGTCAGAACAAAGTATCCTCAGGACGAATGACAGTTACAGAATACTATAATGAAGTCAATAAAAAAATGACACTACTAATAAACAAAACCGTAATGACATACGGAAACAAACAAAACAATAAGGAGCAATGCTTTACGAATATTAATATCTGGGCTTAATGGATCTATCTTAGAAACTCTTTTCTCAATAAATCCACCAGATTTACCCAATGCTTTGGCAAAGGTCCAAGAATAAGAATCAAACAATTTCCGTGCTCAATTTGCAAACAGATTTAATGGATTTAAAAATGAAAAAAAAATATCAGGGAAACAACTAACGATTTGATCAAAAACGACAGAACAATAATACTTATAAAATGCGAAATAATTGGAGTAATAACCAGAATTATAATTGGCCACAAAAGGAAAATTTTTGGCAAAATGATAATCAAAATAACAATCAAAAGCAACAAGCCCTCGAGCCAATGGATGTTGATTCATCGATTAACTCCAGAATAAACCTAGTTACAATCGGCAGCCGAATAATAATTGGCAGGCAAATAATAATAGAGGTAGATACAATAATAATTACTATCAAAATAATAATCGATCAAATTACTATCGCGCTAATCAAAATAAAGAGCAAACTCAAGCTCAGAAAAGGGAACCAGATGGATCAGTAAATCAGCCAGCTAATAAAGTAACCAGATTAAACAATATCAACGAAGATCATTTTTTAGACCAGACCCCTACAGAGGAATGCCTTATTTAAATAGGACAGACCGAAAAACCAAGAAGCAGTTAAAGATTTTAATAGATACAGGAGGCACTGCTTGTTATATAAAAAAAGGGAATTTTCGAAAATAAAAACAAGGAAGAACGCTATAGTCGAGTACCTCGACTATCAGATACCCGTTACTCAGCTAAATGGAGATATGCAAGCAGCAAAGCGAGATTAAAATGCGCCACCTACCGGCGGTACACAGATTTAAGCGTTATGGGCGTTAGAGTGGGCGTGGCAAATTTTTTTTTTTAATCAATCGATAGGTATCGACGAGACCAATACATTTCAGTTAAAATTTTTTATCTAGCATAAAAATTGTGGGCGTCACAGGTTTTTGCGGTTTGTGGGCGTTAAAGTGGGCGTGGCAAACTTTTTTTTGGGTCAATCGATAGGTATTGATGAGAACATTACATTTCAGCTAAAATTTTTATTCTAGCATCAAAACTGTAGGAGC